CCCCCCCCCCCCCCCCGTCCATCCAGGCCTAGGAAGGTGAGCATCCAAACAGACTAGGATCCCAAAAAGCCAGTACATGCAGTAGAAACAGATCCCAGTGTCATTATCAATGGTTTCTCAGTCCGCCCCCATTGTCAGTCACATTCAGAGAGTCCGGTTTGATCACATGCTCGTTCAGTCCCAGTCCAGCTGGCTTTGGTGAGCTCCCATTAGATCAGGCACACTGTCTCAGTGGGTGGGCGCACCCCTCGCGCTCCTGACTTCCTTGCTCATCTTCTCCCACCTTCCGCTCTTCAGCTGGATCTTGGGAGCTCAGTCCAGTGGTCCCATGTGGATCTCTGTCTCTATTTCCATCTGTCGCCAGACGAAGGTTCTATGGTGATATTCAAGGTAGTCATCAGTGTGGCTATGGGACAAGGGCAGTTCAGGCGCCCTCTCCTCTGCTGCCCAAGGACCCAGCTGGGGACCACCTTCCCTTCTGGGACTCTGAATAGGCCCTTAACCTTCCCAGTGGAGTATGAGAGCCTGCAGCACTACAGGCTGCCAGGACAGGACTGAGTTAGTGCCGAGGCAGCCTATTCAAACTTGCCTCCTCACCCAGAAAAGAGAGTCCTCAGCCGCTGTGTGCCCCTGCTGGACCGCCCATCCTGTGGAGTCAAGAGCTTGGTTTTGCAGCTTCCATAGGATTGCATGCTCTATGCTAGGCCTGTGTGGCTGGTGTGAGGCCAGCTTCCTGGGTGTGGTGCTGTACTGAGCTTCATCATTCCTTGGGGGGTTGTTTGGACATGCAGAGCCCTGGGCACTTTAGGCATTCAGGGGTGTTGGGGAGCCTGGGCACCATATCTGCTACAGAAGCGCTGCAGGTAGTGCTATAAGGTCTGAAGGCACTCGGTACCAGGTCTTCTGGGGCCTCCACAGACCACCTGCTGTGGGAGAGGTACAGCGTCCCCTGTTGGAGATCTGAAAGGTGGAGAGATGGGGAGATGGGGTGGGGCCTTCATTGCAGGTAGTAGTTCAGAAGAGGAGGAGCATGGGGAGGGTCAGCAGGCGAAATCAGCAGCTAGACTCAGTTTCCCTCAGCCTCTATCTTAGGCATTAGGGCAGACCAGAGTAAAGTCTGTGTCCTGAAGCCAGTAGGAGCCCAGAGAGCTGGAACCAGGGGTTAGACACCAGGTTCAGCGGGAATGGGAAGGGGGGCTAGACATCAAGTTCAGCAGAATGGGAAGGGGGACTAGACACCAGGTTCAGCGGGAATGGGAAGGGGGCTAGACACCAAGTTCAGCAGGAACTGAATGGACAATCTCAGTGTTCTCGAGGGCTACAAAGAGAACTGGGGTCCTGAGAATGATCACCAGTCCATAGGCCAATTTCTCAAATGTCTAATTCAGATCCTGACCTTCTTTTGACAGGTCATTGACCCTTGGGGTCACTGTGGGTCAACTTGTGATTGTGACTTTGAGCAACACTTAATTCCTGAGTCTCTCTATGTAAGATAGAGTGGAAGGCTGAATACCTGCCCCCAAAGATGTCTGTGTCCCAGTTCCTACACCTGTGACTATGTGAACTTATGCGATAAAAGGGACTCTAGACACAATGAAGCAGGAGCTCTTGAGAGATGACATCATCAAGTGTGTCCCCACATAAGGCAGGCAGCAGGACCAGGGTTCAGGGATGACATTATCCAAGTGTGTCCTCACACAAGGCAGCAGGACCAGGGTTCAGGGATGACATTATCCAAGTGTGTTCCCACATAAGGCGACAGATCAAGGACAGGGCGCTCTGCTGCCAGCTCTGGCAATGGAGCAAGGGGCAGTGAGCCATGACCATAGGCAGTTTCTAAAAGCTGGGGTAGCAGGAAGTGGTAGCCCCCTACTAGGCCCGAAGCCCCGTTCAGACTGCCCTGACCTCCAAAACAGAGGAAGGATGCATTCGTGTTGTGGAAGCCTCTAAGAATGTGGTAACTGTTGTGAGCACCTCCAGGGAGAACGAGAACTCTGCTGAGTCCTCGTGCAGGGGTGGGGATGGGTGATGGGGTAGGAGATGGGGGGAGGTGGGGTGGAGTGGGGCTCAAAGTTCACATCAGAGAAGAGCTAGAGTTAAGTAAAACTTGGTAAACAGCAGTACCTTCAACAGGGGTAAGACAGAGGCAGAAAGGGGGAAGGGGAGGGGAGGGAAGGGACTCCCCCAGGTGGCTTTTTCTGCTACGCCCAACCCCTGTGGGTTAGAATGGTTATGGGAACGTCAGGGATGCTCTGTGACTGTCCAGCTGCTGTCCCGCACTCCACCAGTCCCAGGTCCCATTCCTGTCTCCTAGCGAGCAGCACGTGGGCTGGGATTACTTTCTGGTTCCCCATCTCTCTGGAATTCAACCTCTGAGACTGACTTCTGGGTCACCCGATGATTCCTGTTTTCCAGAACCCACAGGCTTAGCACTGGGCCCTAGTGGTCCCATGTCACACCTCCTCCAGGAGGTGTCCTAATCTCTTCACCTTGGAGACAGACAGAGGCCCAAAGGACAGGGTGCAGGACCTCCTCGTTTTTCTCCGAGCAGTGGGGGTGGGCTGGCAGCCTGGTGGCCTCCCCTGAAGCTGTCCCCTCTGACCCCTGTGGCCTCTCCCAGGTACCTTCGTCTCGGCCTTCACCGTGCTGTGTGGGGCTCGCACTGACCTCCCGGACAGGCATGTGTGCTGCGTCTTCTGGCTGAATATCGCTGCGGCCCTAATTCAGGTGCTCACGGCCATCGTTATGGTGGGCTGGATCATGAGCATCTTCTGGGGCATGGACATGGTCATCCTTGCCAGTGAGTAACAACTGGTGTGCTGAGGGCAGAGTGGGGTGGGGGTGGGGGTCTGGCAGGGTGCCAGAGCTGTGGGAGGAGCCTAGGAGGGACAGGAGGCCTACACTTGGGCCAGGACCTCTCACCCCAAAGACACGGCTTCCAAGGGCCCACCTGTTCCTCTGCCCTAGTGCCATGGCCACCTTTCCAGAGCCTTCTCTACCATACCAGCCCTACAGAGTGGGTCTCCCAGCGAGGGCCCTCTCCAGCAAAGACAGCACTCCCCGCCTCTGTCAAGGAAGCCGTTCTCCCACTGAGCCAGGGTAAACCTGTGTATTCAGAATGAGGCCGGCCTCCACCCCGTGGCTGTGTGTCTACATCAGTTTCCAAAGGAAAAATAAGGCCACGCAGTCTTCACCTGCAGGACGCCGTGTAACTGTGTTTTACACACGGAGCTGAACGACTCCCCGCTGGGTTAAACCACACTCTTTGGTTGGCTGGTGCCGAGCCTTACAAGTTCTCACTGTCTTTGAAGGTGTTAATGATTCAGCCATCGTTAGTGCAAAGTCAGTTTGGGCACGAAAGTGTTTTGGGGAAGTATATAAAGTTACAACATCAAATTTACCAAAGGCAAATGATCAGTTCAAAAATAACCTGGCAGACTCTTCAATCAGACAGCACCTGTCTCGAACAGCTGTTTCTCTATACCTCCATTGCTCTTTCTACCTCACTGGGTGGAAGGCCTCAATAACTGGAGCCACATCTCTTCAGTCACCTGCTTTTCATACCCTGTCCCTACACGCTGGTCCTCACTGGGTGTACAGGTTGAATCGCCAGTGTAGAGGCAAGCTGTACCAGGTGAGGACCCTAGAGGCAGGAGGAGAAGCCAAGTGACAGAGGCCAAAGAATGACCTAGAATAGTCTAGAATGGTCCAGAACTTACTTAGCCTTAGTTGGGGTTCTATGAAAGATGCAGGAAACTCAGGCGCACACACAATGCTAGGACCAGAATCAAATCACTAATCAAATCACCCCTCTAGAGAAGGTTCAAGGGTCAGAGCCGGGTGGGACTCAGTGTGGGTGGCCAGGGCGCCAGGCTTGACAGCAAGACTTCCCAGAATTCAGAGAGGAAGTCAGTGGGTTGCACTGTTAGGTTGTCCCATAGGTAGAGTCAGGGGAGGAGCGCCAGGTGGCAGTGAGGGGAACATTCCTGTCTGCCTGGAAGAGCCTCAGCTCAAGGTGAACTCACCCCACATCTGATGACCCCTAGTGAGTCTCACTTCCACTGTGGACTTCCCAGGAGCGCTAGGCCACTTCCCCAGGGACATGTGGGACGTCTGCAGGACCCAGATCCCATTCTCAGTTAGATCCTAGGAGGTGCAGCTACTCTAGAAAGCCTGGGAGGCTCTGCCAGCCCTCACACCACTGGCTTGTCTGCTCCTTAAACAGGCAGCAGGGTCTGCGGTGTTGGGATTCTAGTAAGAGAGTTATTCAGCTTTCTGTTATTGTAACAAACACCTGGGATAAATCAACTTATCAACAAAAACAAGTTATATTACCCTGGGTTCTAGAGGATCCAATCTAGGCTGGGTTGGCCTTGTTGTTCTGAGTTGTAACCAGATAGCACTTCACGGCAGGACAAAAGCCACTCACTTCATCCTGGGGAGGGGAGAGAAAGAGAAGAAACAAGAGTCTCCAGATACCTTTCAAGGAAATGCATCCATACCATAGACTTCCTGTTAGGGGACCAATCTTGGCATCTGGGCCTTCAGGGGACATTCGAGGTCTGCCATGGCAGTAAGGGATGTGCCAAACTAGGTCTCAATAGATGTGTGTTGATGCCAAATCCGGTTCCCACAGCTTCCTGAATTCAGATGCTGTTTGGCCTCCCTCAGATTACTGCCCTCCGAGCCCTTCACATGCCAGGACTACGATGTCAAAAATGAGCTCGGGGCCCCGAGTCATACATGTTAAACTTGAACTGTCATGAGTTGAACCACTGTAGATCATCAGTCATCTGCGCTTGTCTTTGGTCCTCCTTAATCTCCCCGAACAGGGGTCTAGACCAAAGCCATAAGTTTAAGAGCACTCCTGCTAGCCCTAGATGAGACACTGTAGATCGCAAGATGTGTAGATGGGGGTCCATGCTCTCCCTCCCTGCCTGTCTCTCAGGCTGCTGGCGTGGCTGGAACGCCACGAGCTGATGCAGGAGCTATAATCTGGCTGCAGGATGTACAGATATCAGTGCCCCCAGCCCAGCTCTTCTTCTGGCCCTGCAGGCTCCCTTGTAGGTTTGTCAGTCCCTTGGGTATCTGGGATATATTCAGAGATTCTGTCTTGGCACCCAACTTTTTGCCATGACTTTTGGGGGTCTTCAGAAGAAAATCAGTCCGTCTCCTCTTCCCAGACTGGTAGATACACCCACCAATTTCAATAGCCATCACCTTTTCACCTCTTCTAAATATCACACTCACCTTCAAAAGATGGCTGCACCCCTCTCCTGTGAAGGACTGGGGTTGCGCTGAGCAGCCATGTCTAAGGAGGTGTCTTGGGATGGCCCCTAGGAAGGAAACAGCTGCAACTGACTTTGTCCCAGGAACAGTCGGGTAGAGGGTTGGTCCTTTGGCATCACTCAACATAAAAATACAGGTTGGGTTTCACGTGACACCTTGGCCACAAGCGACCACACTATGAGACGAAAGCTTCTGAGAGGAATCAGAGAGTTGGCTGAACAGAGGTGCTCCATCTATGATAACAACATATGATGTTGTTATCATATCGACATATATGATGAACAGCAGCAGTTGTAGCCGCTTGGCCGCTGGTCAGCACTTGCCTGGTAGCTCTCTTAACTGTTCTTCCTATTGCTGCATCAACAGTCGGTGTTGGTAATCATTTGTCTCAGCACAAGGCTCCGGGAAGTTGTTACTAATGGACCCAAGATACCTCCCAATCCTCAGGTCTTTCCCAAAGCAGTAGACTTTATAAATGCAGGTCCAATCAGTAGATGGGACTAATTGCTTAGCCCAGACAGAGCAGTGCTGGGACCAGGGCAAGTCACTGTAGCATCTTTGTCAGTCACACCTGCCTTCTCTGTACCTGTTCCTCTTCTAAATCATCCAGAATGTGCCCTGAGAGCATAGGCTGGGACCAGGGAATAAAGAAGAAATAAAGACAGGAAGCAAGTAGGGGCGTGGGCATGGCCGAAGGGGGCACTGGGCAGACAGGGACAGGGCAGTGTGACACATCGCCTAGTGGAACTGGCTACTGGCCACCGTGACTGGTCACCGGGAAGACTAAGCCCACCTTGGCTGCAGTCCTGTCTTCACAGGGTCTTTGGTAGAGTGCCTCCCTCACCTTACATCCCCAGTGCTTTGGCTTCTGTGTTCAGACTGTTTCTCTCTCTCTCTCTCCTCTTCCTGGTGCCTGCCTTGCATCTCTGCGGCTGCAGTCTCCCAAGGTGAGTCTGTTGGTAGAGAGACATCCTCTATCCTGCCAGATATCCCTCCCTCTTAATTGGTTAACAGTTAATTGCAGTTTTAGCTTTTATTTGGAAAGGAGAGTACCTAGCATAACGGGTCCCTAACGTCTCTACCGTCTTTGGCCACTCATGGCCCCCTCTCATTGCTTCTATTGCTCCTAGGCCCCTAACCATCACTGGATTGTTAGCACCCAAGACTGACAGGTGGCCCACTACCTAGAGAGACCCAGTTGGGACTCTAGGCCTGCCTCCTTAGTCCAAGGTAAATGTCTGGCAGAGTCACAGCTTGGTCCACCCTTCCCTGCTGTCTCAGCTCTGTACTCTTACCCTATCCGATGAGCAACAACTCCATGGCATCATCAGTGCTCCAACCCTCCCAGAGAAGGCTGTGAATACAGCCGGGAGGGAAGTACCAATCAATGCACACGAGGGCCTGGGTTTCATCTCTGATACTGGAAAACAAAAATCACACGATTAGCAACAATGTTCTGAAGACTCAATGTGCTCCAGTCCTGTTCCTGTCCCAGCTACCCAGCTGGCTGAACATATGTCAGACACTTGTTCCCTTCTTGGGTGGCCAACTTCAACCCTCCTTCCTTTCCTCCCTCCCTCCTTCCCTTCCTCTTTCCCTCCCTCTTTCCTCCTATATAACCTTGCTTGTAAATAGTAGGATCTTTACTGCTCACTGTACAAATAAGGTCCTCACACTATAAACAAGGTCTTGTGAGTATATTGTGGTCTGGGACCATGTTGGACAAATCCTAAAGGAAGTGTCCCCCTAACCGCCTCTCCTCTTCTCCTTCCCCACAGGGTACAAGGATCAGGGTATCCCACAGCAGCTGTGAGCCTACAGGACCTGCCAGGGAAATCCAGGGTCCTGCGAGGGCTGCGCCAGGTGGCTTCGGGCACAAGGACCTTCACATGTTCTCTTCTGCCGTTTCTCAGATTGGGGTAGAAAGAGAGCACTTCAAAAATATTATTTATTTCAAAAAAACACACCTGCTTTTCTCAGCAGGCTCTGAGGCCAGCTTCTCTCTCTGCTCCAGAGGCGCATGGGAGGAACAGGGTCAGAACGTCAGGACTGGGCTAGAGGCAGGATACTGACCAAGCACCAGGGATGCTGGGCATGTTCATCCAACTGCCCGCTGATCAGGCACCCAGGCCTGTCGGGCTGGGCTGTTGTAGGCCCTGTACAGGTGATCAGGCACTCTCCCAGGCATTAGGACTTCATGGAATACTTCCGCTGGGTCCTCATCCCCGTACTCAATCATGTGGTTCCTGTATCTGCTCTGTGGGCTCCTGGGGGCAGTATCAGGGTAGAGGTTGCAAGGTGGCCAGGTGGTAGCCCAGCGTGGAAAGGTCCCTGGGTCCCCACAGGTGTCTGATGACACCCCAGCCTTTTAGTTGCTGAGTGGGCCTGTGTCCTTTGCTTCCCAGAGGTGAGGGTGGCACTGGCTCCACCTCTGCTAGAATTCCAGATGTTTATATGCAAAATGACCATGTTGAGTTGTGAGTGGCTGCAGACCAGCAGCCTCCTTGGATGTTTTTACTACTGTTTCTGGTCCCCTCTCCTTCTGACATCCACGTGTTTCCAAATCCAGATGGTTTGGTTTGAGGTAGGTGACAGAATCCATTCATTGCTATTTCCTAACACCCAAGCTGAGTCTGGACTTCCCACCTGCCACCAAGCAAGCGGATATCTCTAGAGAGACCCATGCAGAGTCAGCTCTCTTGAGACCCATGAACTGTAAAGGCTTCGCCTGTTCAGGTCTCCTGAGCAAGTCCTGGGGACAATGGAGACTCGTCTGCATGCGAAGTGTGAGAAGAATGACATCATGACCTGGGATTCATACATGTTGCAAGAAGAGGCAGTGTGAGGCTGTCGCTATTGGCACGACTTGTGGACCTTGGTGCCCCGTTAGCAGCAAGCCTGGGAGTGATGTGCCAGTACAGGATTAGATCCTTAATAGGGGGAGAAACCAACAGAAGGTTTGCGGGCACCATTCTGAAATTAAGAGGAAGGCGATCCAAAATTACAGTGGTGGCGTGGCTATTTGCATCTCTCTTCATTCCCATGCTAACGTAGGAAGCGCTAACATGTGGGACAGGCCCAGAGCTCAGTTCCCAGCCGCACTGGCCTAAAGCCATCAACGGGTCCCTCTTGGAGGATCTTTCCCTATCTAGCCGAGGCTCTATCATAGCATGGCCAGGGCTAAAGAAAGCTGTCCACTTTCTGCCTTGGTGGATGGGGGCTCTTGGGAAGCAGCTCCCATTTCCCTGGGGTTCCAGCCCCCTACCAGGCTTCTTAATTGAAGTCTTTGGGAGCAGACCTCCAAACTGGACAGCCCCTGACACCATGAAGAGAAGTAATCTGTGGCATCCTCACTCCTGGCTCTGACTCTGGACCAGTTTGCCTGTCCTACCCTGTATTAGTTTCTTTCAGGGCTCTGTGGGATCAAGTCGCACCCTTGAGCGCCTGCCAGGGTCCTGTATCTTCCATGTTTACTTCCGTTGCTTCTGTGTGTCTGCAGCCCCTGTCTTGGGCTACCACTCTGGCAGATCACTGCTCTCAAGGGAGCTACATCAGGTAGCAAAGTTGTACAGACAGCCACGGCACAAGGAAATGACGGGCCGAGCCCTCCCATGCTGCCACAGCCCTTTACCCCACGTAACCAGCGATGACAACCCTTGGCAAGAGTGGCCTCCAGAGTGAGGGAGACATCTATTTGCCTGGTTTGGACTGGGGGTGGCTACTGGGGGAGTTGAAAAGAGAGAGCAATTTGTATTGCTTGTTTAGTGACATGAGCCAGCCTCGAGTGGGACTTTTCTAAGTGATAAGTGTCACCATGAGTTCCAGTGTGGGATGGCTTAATACAGGGGTTTTCAAACTTGGACAGTTGTCTCCTTGGCACCCTCCCCTTCTAGGTGGCTGATGTGGGTAGACTTAGGAGCCCCCGGAATAGTGAGTTTGGGGGTTACCATTAGCTACAAACAGCAGCCCCCTGATGAGGCCTAACTTTAGAATAATTGTTCTCAGACAGTGGGCAGTCCAAGCTGACCATTGGATCTAGGTGACCAGAGTTCATTTACCACCAGCGATCTAGCGAGCAAGGCCATCAAGCCATGAAGTGCTGAGTGGTCACAGGTCCTTTAGTGACAAAGGCCCTAGATGGCATAGCTCAGGGCTCCTGTCCCAACCTTGGGAAAGAATTCAGAAGCATATTCTCTGGCTATGAGTGGCAGGGACAGAAATCACAGGCACACAGAGAGCATCCTGGTGTATGAGACATTGCATCATGGTCAGAGTGGCCATTTTTCCCACCACTCTGGGACCCCGGAACAAGAATGAGGCACCAGGTAGCCTGAGTGTCCTGGTTTCATTTTGCCACTGGGATAAAATACGGGGTTAAGAAAGCAATATGCAGGAGGAAAGGGGATCTTGCTGCTGCTGCCTTGGTTTCCTTTTTTGCTTCTGCAGGTGATACACAGTCTATCACCGCAGAGTCGGGAGGCAGCTAGCCACACACCCGCAGTCAGCAGCACAGAGAGAGGATGCATCCGCACTGTTTGCTCTTTTTGCACCCCAGCTAGTTTTATGTAAACTTACAAAGCCCAGGTCCACGAAATGGCGCCATCCACAGTCAGGGTGGATCGTTAACTTCAACTAACAATTTCAATTAACAACTAAGAATTGCTCAATTAACAATTAAGATAATCCTCCACAGACATGCCCACAGGCCAATCTGATCTAAATAATTTCTCATTAAGACATTTCCCCGGGTGATCTAGATTTTGTCAAGCTAAAATCAAGCAGTGGTGTGTAGTGTGTTGTGGAGATCACTGGGGACCCCGGACTGTGGCCCCCATGGCATTAGCCACCCCCAGTCTCAGACTAGCCATTCTGCTGCCCTTGCCTTGATCAAGCCTCCAGCAGCACTGGAGAGAGGAGAAGGAAGTGACAGGGTCTTGGTCTGCTCTCTGCCTCCAGGCCCCAGGCAACAGTCTCCACAGTAGGCCTGGCCCTGGTGTTGCCCAGAGCAGCTCATTTCTGCTGTTCTGTGAGCCGCCTGTGGGGAGGGGTTTAGTCAAACATTCCAGAGGAGAGCAGAGACTCTCCCCCAGACACACACCCCTCAGGAGTCACAGGGAGAGATAATGAATCTCTTCAGAAGGCTGGGGTAGTGTTTCCCCCTCTGCCTTCCTGAATTTTTGACCTCATCTGCCCTCAAAGCCATGCCTCCTGGCTTCTGAGCACCCCTTATGGAGGGTGGATGCCAATGGCAGCTGGGACAGTTGGTGCTGAGAGCTGCCTGGCTCATGGGATCCAGTTCCTGCATTCCCTCATAGGACCAAGGCTGCACTGATGCATGATAAAATTGTGGGGTGTAGGAGGCTGGAGGCTGGGGAGCAGAGAGGAGAACTCAGCTAAAGGAGACACAGAAAATAAGCCACAAGGCTAGCGTGTTTCCCCAGACAGAAAGGGATCAAGATGTTTCAAAGAAAAATCATCTGGACATCTTAAACACTGGGTTTACGGCCAGCACACAGTGGCTGAAACCCCAAGACCAGAAAAATCCCCCCAAAGGTCTAAGGTTCCTGAAGGGGGCAAGTAAAGCTGAATGATAGTGGGCCTTTTACCTTAAGATGCAAACACACTTATCTTTCTCTAAGCCCTCTTTAGCTGCTCTCTTCTTTGCTGGTCCGGGCGGATGGGGATCTTCACACATGCCTCCAGCTTATGTGAGGTGGGAGTAGGCTGTCCAGTCTTTAGTGATGTGTATCATTGTTAGAGACCTGCATGAAGAAAGCATGGGTCATACTGGGGAGCCAGAAAAGCAGCGCTGTTAGTGGTAACGGCTCCCTCCTGGTCTTTCTCACACCCACTGGATCATGTCCTAACTGCATTGTAGGGGTTAGAGGGGAGCTTTGGAAAACCTCCAACTTCACCGGTCATGGCTTCCCAGAGGCTGGCCTTCTCTGTGGTTTGTGAGGCTTTGGGTTTAAAGAACCAACTATAGCCACTCAGTCACTTAGTCCCATTCAGAAGTGTGCCCGATGCAGACAGAGGTTTCCCCCTAGTGGCGGCAGGAAGCCAGGACACCATCTGTGGGCCTAGGGGTGGGGTCCACTGGCCCAGCTGTGGGGTTCCGCAGTTGGCAGATGTTCCTTCAGTGCTAAAAATGCTCAGGTCCTGAGCTCAGATGAAAGATGCCCTCCAGGCCACACCTCTGCAGTACCCAGCTTCCATCAGTGACAACAAAGTGGGAGAGACCCTTTCTTCAAGGACTCGATATCCTTCGGGAGAGATCTGTGCCCAGGTTGTAGGGGACCGGGAGATCATCTTGGGTAACGACAGGGACATAGTGCTGTGAAGAGGCCAGCCGAGTGCTGGGGGAAAGGCTCGGAGCTTGCAGTCTCTCTTTTCTTCCTGTCAGTTTTTGAGAGCTTCTGAATGTTCCTGAGTTTGTGGAGGTGTGATTCCACTCAGAGCATGACCCAGCCTCAATCCCATGATGCACCACGACAGAATGAATCCCAATTAGAGTGGTCCCAAGTACCCTCCATGTCCCAAGGTCTAGCTTCACCCATGTCCACGACAGTATAGGAATAAAGCCAGTTCTTCATTGCCCCCCAGTCCCCCCAATCTTGCCAAAACCAGGGGTTTCGACAACGCAGACCCACCCACCCACCCAGGCAGGGTGGCATGCAGACCTCACTCACTACTCACAAAGGCTGGCAGCCCCAGAGCTGGGAGAGTCGATTCTTCCTGGCGAAACGAACACTGGTCAGTCCAGCACGCTCCAAACCCTCCCCACCCGCCTCTATCCCTGTCCCAGGGCAAGTGACCTTTCCTGGGGAGACACAGAGAAGTGCCTCTTTGCCCCAGACAGGTCACCAAAGGTCTAAAGAAATGATTCCACCAACATTAAGTCTGGAACCCAGTGAGTTTATGGGGTTATTTACAGGATTATGGATGATTCTTGGTAAGCTGTCACAGAAGTCCTACCCCAGCATGGCAGACAACTCAAGAAAGCTGCATCAGCGCTGACCTCATCCCAGTCAGTCACATGTCCCCAGCTGCATCCCCTGTGCACATCAGTTCCTCTCTCTTAAGGGATCTTTGGGTTCAGTATCCCCACTGCACCAAATACAGATCCACTGAAGTACCAGGGTCCCGGAGTGGTCTGATGTGGGAGGGGCAAGGAGGGTGCGGTGACCTCTTCCTGGGGGCCTTTCTCGGGCTTCAGATATCACTTTGATTTTCTGAACTTTCTCCTGCACTGCCTGCCCCAGCCCAGGATCCAGCAAGGAATAGAGGACGAGGGAAGTTTTGATCGGGGAGAAGCGATGATGGGGCTTGTGATTAACTTCTGCCGGCTTCCGTGGAGCTGAAGCTGGCCGTCCTCACTGGCACAGTTGAATACTGTCGCACAGGCTGCTCTTTCCTTTCCAGCAACATAAGAAGAGAAAACCCTGGCTGTATCGCTGAATTTTGGGCATGTGATGTGTTGTGAATTATTGCTTTGGTGTTGCCGTTGGCTTTGTTTGGATCTCTTGTCTCTGTTAGATTAACTGCTGTACATTTTCATGTTCTCTGACTAGATCCAGGGCCTTCTTTCCTTACTCCTACTCACGGGGAGCCCACGTGCCCCAGTCCAGCCAGGGGGGCATTGCCAGCCCATTCCAAAGATTGGAGACTACTTGGAATAGCTCAGCCCTAGGGAAGATTCCAGACTTGCCTGGCCAAACTGGGGCCCAGATCTGACTTTGGCTAAATTTCCTGGTGTCCTCAGGCTCGACCCCGCGACTTTGGCCCAGGTTCCACAGAGCCCCACAGGAGCAGAGCAGGGCTTCTGCTTCTCCAGCTTCCCAACAGCTTTGAACCCCTTCCTTCCAACTGTGCTGCTGTACGTGTGATGGAGAACCACCCACAGCAACAAAACCCGTGTACATATCTCCATATACATATGTGTACATACACATGTGGTCCTGTTATAAATACACAAAGCATGGCTTTTCTTTGGCATTCTAATTCTTCTTCTTCTTTTTAATCCTTGGGAATATGGTTTTGGAAACATTGTCCTCCTTTTCCTCTTTTCTATGTAATAAACATTCATGTGACCTTTCTGGTGGCTTCTCGAGTTCCCATGTCTTCCATGTCTGTAACCAGGCAGATCTCCAAACCACACTGCTCTAAATGCTTCCATCCTTCTCTCCCTCCAACCTCAGCTGCCGATCTTCCAGTTCTGCAGGCCGCCTTCCCTTCTTCAGGGGAACTGATCCAGTGTTCTCTCTGCTCACCAGGACCTTTGGAGCCAGGGATGCATACTCCCAACAAAGCACCAGGACCCGGCCCTGGATGGTGCGCAGTAGGAGCCCATTTCCTTTCTTGGCAGCTGGACTAGCTGACAAGGGAAATGTGTGTGAGATGCATGTTGAAATGGTGCCTTCCGTAAATGAGCATCTGGGTATGACAGTCAGAACTGAGAGCTAACTGGCTGTTGGCCATCATGCGGGGTCTTCAGAAGCGAGGAGGGAATGGCAAAGTCTCGTCTACAGCCTGGCCAACATCTTCATTGGCTAATACACAGAGACCTAGGGAACTCAGCACATTCACTGATGGAGGGAATTAAATGCATTACAGATAGGAGAATGCAGAAGGTGGTCTATGATCTGACAAAACAGTCTTCAAACTAAAGCAGCGTCAAGGGGACATTATGACTCTAAATGTATTTGCCCTTAATACAGGTGCACACAATCTCATAAAACATACTATTAGGTGGAAAGTCTCAGATTAACCTTAGCATGATAATACCAGGTTACTTCAATACCACACTCTCACCAATAGGTCATACCCACAAAAAACAAAACAAAAACCCAAATCAGACATAAAATTAAATGGGATTGTACACCAGATGGACTTATCAGAGATCTACAGAACATTCCATTCAAACGCTGCAGAGTATGCATTCTTCCCAGTAGCCCATGGAGCATCCACCTATATATGGCACAAGGCCAATCTCAACAAATGCAAGGAAAATGAAAATGATTTCTTTACCCTGACTGATTGCAATAGTATAAGATTACAAATCAGCAGCAAAAGAAGCTCCAGAACATATACAGATTCATGAAGAATCTAGAAAGTTCTGGATAGGCAGAAAAAAAATTCTAATGAGATGCAGTTAGTAAAAGATGAATGCTTTGGAGATAATTAGCCTTTGTGCTTCCCTGTCCCTAAGGAATGCCCTAGGGCATCTCAGGGTTCATGAACGTCCAGCTTGGTTGACAAAGTGCATCATCTTCTGTGGTTGCTTCAGGAGCAGCAGCCTGGAGGAGCAAGTGAGGCATTGCCTGTAGAGTTACTGTCAGTGGCGGGGTGGTCAACGGCCAGGCTCGACTCCTCATATGCTAAGGGAAACATCTGACCGCTTCCTGTTCCTCGGGGCAACCCTCCCACGCCTGTTAGCTTTCCCATAGCTGTTAACTCTAACATAAGCGACTCAGAGAAAGAAGGAGATCGTTCCCCATGTTGTTTCAGCGATTTTAATGTGTGTTTGGGGAACACCGTGGTGAGGGCACAGTGAAGCAGAGAAACTCACATCACGGCAAGCAGGAAGAAGACCAGCAGTAACGAGAAGGGGCCGGGGCAAGATAGCACCCCTAAGAACACACTCACAGTGACACACTTTCTCCAATCAGGTCCAACCTCTCGAGAGCGAGGACGGGAGGGAGGGCAAAGGGCTCGCTACCCGTTATCCGCATACACGTCTGGGGCCAGGAGTGTCTTCTCCCCTGCCTCACCTCACACACTCACTGCTATAGACGAAGGGACTGAGAGTGACAGTGTGGCCACACTGTGCGTTCCTCACAGTGCAGATGAGAAGAAGAAATGGTGAGCCCCAGCAAGAGGCCCTACAGGCCCAGAAAGCGCTAGAGCTGGGTTGTCTCTGGCCGTGGTGGTATGTGCCACCCATGCAGCCCCTTTCTCTGCCCACGGTGGGCATCTCTTCCCCAACTTGCAGCCAATGCTGGCTCACGAAGTTATGGTCTAAGAAGCTGCCTGGGGTGGCTGGGGAGGCGGCTCAGCAGTTAAGAGCACTTGCTCCTGCAGTGAACCTGGGTTCAAGTCATATCACCCACATCGTGGCTCATAACTATCCGTAAGCCCAGTTCTAGGGCAACAGGAATGTACTTGGTGAACGTACACATGTGCAGGCAAAACATTCGCACACATAAAGCAAATGAATCTAAAAGAAAGAAAGAAGCTGCCTGGGAGGAAGATGGCTACGGCTGGCCACAAAGACCCTCTTACAGTGATACCCCGGGCCGGACACATCCCTTTCTACAGACCACATCCTGGAGCGAAACTCCCAGCATCTATGATGTACCTGTGTCTGGGGATGGGATGCTGAAAAGGTAATGGGGTCATTAAGGTGGTCCCATTCTTGTCCCATGACTTGTGCTCTGGAGAGATGACTCAGTGGGTAAGAGCACTGGCTGCCCTTCCAGAACACTCGGGCTCAACTCCTGGAACCCACGTGCAGCTCACAACTGTCTGTAACTACAGCTCCAGGGGACCCCACACCTGCACACCGACATACATGCAGGAAAACCACTGATATACATAAAATAAAAATAAATAAATCAGAAAAAGAGGAGCCCAGGATACAGACACACGCAAAGGGAAAAGGGCACATTGTGTAGAGACACAGCAGGGCGGCAGTCATCTGCAAGTCAACAAGGGAAGCCACACAGGGAACCTTGATCTTGGACTCCAGCCTCTGGCACTGTGAGCTTGCTGTTGTTTCGGTCAAGGCCTGTGATTCCTTGTGGTGGCAGCGGAACCAGCTATGTTATGGCACAAGCCAGGAATGACAGAGATGGTAATGTGACTCATAGCAGAGTAGAAGGGAAATGTCCCAACAAAGACAGGTCTCTTGGATGGGGCGGCACTTCCATGGACAACCCTGGGCCCTTGGGTACCCCTGGGTTAAACCTAGGGATGTAAATGTTAGTTTGAGGCTGTGTTCCTTCTAGGAACTTGAATACCATGAGCTAGTGCCTTCTTTGCTCTCACTGAAGGGTCCCTGATCTGGAGGGAACAAGGAGAGGAGGCCTGTGCTCAGCAGAGGCCCACAGCTGCTTCCTGGGCAGGCTGGATGTGTATGTTCTCATCAAATATAGCAGCGCCTGGAAGCAACATTCCGTATGACAAAGAAAGTACTGCACTGTGGAGGAAGGAAGTTTCATCTGGGAGCCATCCTTGGCTTTTGAGTCTCTAGGCCTGCAGGGAATCGAAGCCAGAGAACAGAGAAGCCACCTCTGCTGTTGGCTTCTAGGGTAGCTGCACACGTAGTCCTTTGGAAAAGCAGAAGCAGAGATGTAGGCGTCTCCTCCAACACGACACAATCTGTACCTGCTGCTCCCTGCATAGACATGGCTCTCTTCACTGTTGACATCAAGTCCTCCTTGGCCGTCCTTAGCCTGGGAGTCACACTCACAGTATGACACAGCTGGCTTTTGCTCTGCCAGTGGTCAAGCCCCTGCTTTGCCCACACCCACGTGATGCTGGGAAGACCATCAATCAGATGTCACCCACTTTGGGCAAGAGGGGGGCTGCAGCGCAAGCCCCTCCCATTGCACTTACTGGGATAGTCTAGGGTCTTCCTCGAGTCTCCTGGACAAGTGTCCCGTCTTGGTCCTTAGGCTGAAGTTTGAAATCCTGAAGTCACTGTGGCTGAAGTTCCTACTCCTTGGAGCAAGATGCCAACATGCAAAGTTGGGCATAAGGGAGAGGGGCCATGTTGTTCCATCCCTCATGCTGAGGCCAGTGCTAGCTCTGTCTAACCTGGGCCTCCTCCCTCCCTCCCTCCCTC